AAAAAAAAAAAAAAAAAAAAGAGTAAAATTTTATTGTTAAGGTTTAGTATAGCTATAAGAAAGCCCTTGTTATAATGTACCAGGAAGGGAAGAGGCATATTAACATACTCATACCCATAGTTACTGGTTCTTATCAAATTGACTAGTTATCTGTTGTAATAGCCTCCTTGGAGAGTGTAAACTGAGAAGAACAATACTTGAATGTAAAGGGTAAATAATTTTAAACAAGGAGGTGGACAGGACTGACACTTCCTGTTGAGAAAGAGAGAGAGAAAGAGATAGGCCAGGAGTCAGTCAAGCCTATTTGCAGTGATTTAGTCCTAGGGCTCTTTCTAAAAATGACTTGGAATATTTTTTTGCTTTCAATTTGTGATTTCCCCTAGTTTTAGTACACAGCAAAGGTGGAAAATAACTAAAAGGCCACATTTAGCCATGTTAATATTTCCTAATCACTAAAACACACATAACTCATGAAATTTTGAGATCTCTATAATTCACCTGCAATATTGTGAACACTTGATAAATATTTGCTAAGTGAATCCCCTCATGATTCTGCCCCCCCCATACTTCAGAAGTGACTATATTAAACACACTGAAATTCTAATACTTGATGTAGTCATCCATAAAACAATACCAAAGTTTTTTTAAAGGTCTATAATGGCATTGCCCAACAGAACTGCCATGATGAAAACGTTCTTCAATCTGCTATGAACAATAGAGTATCCACTAGCCACATGTGGATACCAAATACTTGAAATGTAGCTAGTGAGAGTAACAAGCTGAATTTTGATTTAATTTAGTTTAAATGAAAAGTAGCTACTTTCCATTTAAACTCCTGTGGTCAGGGGTTATCCACTGACTACATTGAAAAGTGGAGACCTACAGATTTTGTTAGAAGTTTTCTGTCCTTCTCACTTTTTAAGACCAGATATTTTGATGATATCATCCATTGTTATGCATACTTTCTTTTCACTGCTGTTTATTCTTTTCAAAAATGGAAATAATTTGGTTTATCTATGATAACTCTGAAGACTAGTAGAACAAACCAAGTGATTTGCACAGCAGCCTCTAGGGGGATTTATGTGTATTCCTTTTAGGGCTTGTAAACTGGCCCCTCTAGGGTCAATTTCTAATTTCTAGTTGAAATAGTGAGGAAAGAGGAGTCTGTTGGGCTCGGGCAGGTTGGCCTTTCCAGCTAGTCTTCCTTTAGATTGCCTCCTCCCTCCTCAGGAATCTGGCACCTTCCGGCTGCCCCTTGGGTCTGCACGAGCCTCTAAGATCTTTTCCCACACCGCCTCCCTTGCAAATCAAAATGTACTTAGAATCAGTGATGATCACCTGCTTTCCCCTTCCTGATTTTATACATAAGAAAACAGACACTGCAAAGAAGGGTTGAGGAGGGTAAGAGAACTAATGTTGATTAACTAGCTACCGTGCATTTTCTGGATACTTTAAGCCATGCCCAGTAAAAATGTGCTACCTACATAAATAACGTTTTTTGAATGGATGAACACATGAATACATTTTTATCATATGAAACAGATATTATTCCCGTATCACAAAGACACTGAAATTTTGAGAAGTTATATGACTTCAAGGCAAAACACACATAACACTCCAATCATTTAATCTACTTAATCTTTTCCCCCCTTTACTGCTGAACTCCTAGCCGGGTTTCCTATGACCTCGGAGGTTTAGTTCTTTGTCTTTCAAAAGGAAAACGACCAACTAACTTGATCAATGGATTTACACTAATAGATGTATGCAAATATATTGACAGAACCTTCTTCCCAACCCCCCTTTTTTGGGATTTTCGAATTTACATACTAATCATCTGGGAACAGTGTTAACTCAGAAATGGCTTCCTCCGAATTTCACGCTGTTCGGGAGATACTGTATTTGGTAATTTAGAGGCATTAACAAAATATTCCACAGGAGATACTTTCCTGGAGTCTGGATGCTTACATAAAGACGCCGCATTCAGTACAAATTAAACTTCAACCGTGTTTGCATTTACCTAAATGTGTATTATTACGAGTAGGCGATTGATTTATGTATTAGCTCCTATCTCTATAAATGACTTGTAAGACACATTAAAATTGGCTCCTCCCTCGTCTCTTACCCCCACTCTTCGGAACCTTATCTGCTTAGGAGTATGGTCAAAGACCCAGCAGCGTTTGGAAAGAATTGAAAATGACAATAAATATGGCTATATGATTTTCAACACAAAGACCACAAACAGCACTACAGCACAAGAAGTCCTGAAAATATGACATCCACAAGTTAGAGGGCTTCAAAGTACAAGTGGTCCAAGCCAGTCTGCAGAGACTGTTCATGCTTCCACCCTGCAAAACCCTGGCAGGCGACACGTCGAGACGAATTTCAGCAGCAGAAGAGGAAGAGCATCACCTGCAGTCCGAGACGTGGGAAACGCGACCCGAGAGGGGTTAGTTAAGCCAGAGAGGAGTGCGCGGCGAGGCTGCGGGCGGCTCTGGTGGTGAGCGCTGGGAGCCCAGGGCTTGGGGAGCCGCCAGGAAGGTCTACAGGGTGCAGAGAGGCAGACGTGTCGCCTTGGGGACGGCTGCGGCCCGAAGAGACCGCGGCCACAGGGAAGCCAGCGCCAGCCTCGGTGCCTGCTGCCGCGACTGACCGGGCGGCGGATCCAACCGGAGAATCCCGTCTGCGCTGGGGACCCGGGGGCAGGCGGGGCGCTGACGTCACCTCCCCTTACCCCCTCCTACGAGAGGGAGGGAGCGGGCGAAAGAGGCAGCGTTCCGCCGCAGCTACCGGCCGCAACTCCTCAACTCGGCGGCTCGCTGCCTGGACATGTCCTGACAAACTTGGCTTCCCCGCGGCCCTCGCTCTAGCCCCTGCGCACTCTCTTCTCACCGCCTTTGGGTGCCCAAGTTTCACCCCGCTCGGAAGCCTCGGGAGATGCAGCCACCCGGGGCCCAGCTGCACCGGCTGATCGCTCTCCGGTCGGGGACATGCTGAGGATCCGAGGGAGGCAAAGTTGGGACTCCGGACACTGCTCTTAACAAATCCTCAAACTGGGTAGGGTTTGGTGAAGCTGCTGGGGACTTTTCAGTTGGAGCCCCGAGGATACGACTGGTCTGGTGAGTTCTTTGTTCAGTGCGTGCCTTTCTGTATTTTAAATTGAAACGTAAAAGCCATTACAGGGGGGGCGTTTGGCTCTAACCCAGTGCAGGAAAGCGTGTGCCTCCTGTAGGCTCTGCGCTCCGGGTGTGCACGCCCCTGGGTGAGCGCGGCTCGGTAGTGAGATTTGCACGCACAAATCTTTTGGAATGCATAAAATACAGATAGAGCACTGCTCGCAAGAACTTGAGCAGCGATGCCGTTGGTGCATTATTTTGAATGTAACTTGTTACAGAAATGGAGCCTGGGGAGGGCGCCTCGAGGACCGTGCGATGTGCAGGGGCGCAGCGCCCTCTAGTACGGGCGCCCGGCACGACGCTTCTACCCTGCTGTGCGCGGAGGCTACCTCGGACCTCCCTGGAGCTCCAGGAACCAGGGCGTGCTCTCACTCTAGCCTTTCCTGCCCACCCAGACTGGCCCACTGTTGACACGACCTCCCCAGATCAGCCTGAGCAAAGCACTGGCTGCAAAGGCTGCGCTGGGTGTAGGGAGGGCGTTTTGTTTCGGGAACCGTCCCTCGAGGTCTCCTTCATTCCAGGAGCCTTTGGAGATAGGGTGAGAGGGGGTGATTATTAAAAGACCCCTGAGGAACTTGTTCCGCTTTCCCGTGAAAGTAACTCGATGGTTGTGTTCCCTATTTGCTTCCTTTGGCGCCGGCGGAGCAGTAAAATCTTGGCCTGGCTGAAGCCTGTCATCTCCATCCCTGGCCCTCGGCGGTGGCTGCGGCGACCAAGTGCAACTTCTTCCAGGCACTTAAATCGGTGTCTTGGGAAGCCTGGAAAACTAGGATTCTCATGCACGTTTTGGTTCTAGTGAGCGTTATTATTTATTAATGAATGGTGTCGCCTCCAGGAATTCTTTGGTGCCACTTAAACAAAAAAAATCCCGTGATTTCATGCGACAGGAGCGGTATCTTTGCACTTTCCTTCCCCCTTAACACTACTCTGCTGTGGTCATGTTTGCGGAGCGATGCTTCGTCCAGGGGCGCAGGCCGGTGGAGTTGGGGTGACCAGGTCACCCATGTCCGAAGTGTCCCGCGCGGAAAACGGACCTGAAAGTGCTGGCGCACAGTACGCAGTAGTGGCCATAGCCAGACGCGCCTCTCGGTGCTGGGGAGTGTGTCCTGTGGAGGCGGTACTCTGTGAGTTGCGAGTCGCGTGCTCCTTCAGCAAGCGGCGTTTTTTCTTCTTCTTGGCCAGTACCTCCTCCAGGACGCCTCATTTTTCCAGACCCTTCTTCAAGATGGCTCAGGAGGTGACTACATAAACTCTGAATCGAGGACTTGCTCCTGATGCCTCACTGTCCCCCTGAAGATCCCGCCACTGGGAACATGGAAATCGGCTCTTTGTTAAAATGGTCGAGTTCCGAAAACTTTGCGGGGTCCGGCCCTCCTCTTGGGACCGGGCGCCGGGATGTGGGGCCCCCCTTGTCTCTCTGGGGGTCGCAGAGTCAGCCCAGGCTCGCTGGCGTCGGAGTGTCTTCCAGGGGTTTCGCTGGGGATCTGGCTGCATCTCGCCATACAGGGCAGCGTCTGAATTTTCCTAGGATTCGCTGCAGATGGGGGAGTAAGCGCATCCCTGTCTAACCGCATCCCTTTTCTGGGACCTGTACGATCATTTTGAGACCCCCGCCCCCAGCAATTGCAGACCCCGAACACAGACATTCAAATGCAGATCTTGGAACTCCCAGAGGGTTCTAGAAAAATGTCCCCAAGGAGGAGCAGGAAGCTTTTACCTCCGGCCCGAGGGACCGAGCCCTCACTGAGTTACGGTTTCTCCCAGTTCTATCGAAAAAGATTCCCTAATCGCTCGTCTGTGCGCTGGCCATGACAAACCTCGGCTTAGAACAAGGCCCGGGAACCGGTCCTTGTGTGGCCGCGAGGTCCCCGCCCCCAGGGGCTGGCTTGCCTTCCAGCGGTCTGAGTCTGCTGGGGCCGCCGGGACCATAGGCTCGAGTTTCCGCGCCCTCCTGCGAAACGAGCGCCGGCGCCAGGGGGCGTGGCCGCGGGCGGAGGGATCTCTTCCGCGCCGGGAGCGTGAGAGTTTGGGTCCTTGAGGCGCCGGGGCGGCCGCGGGAGCCGACCGCGCTGCGGAGAGGTCGGCCGGGCTAGGACGGCTGGAGCTATGCGGCCGTGCGGGTCCTGGAGGACCACGGGCTCGGCTGGTCCGGGCTGTAGGGCGCGTTGAGGCACGGGGTGAGCTCTTCGAGAGCGCCGCTGCCACTTCGGACCAACTTTGCTGTAAGTTGGTTGAGGCTGAGGGACGGAGGGGAGGGCGTGAGGGAGGCCGGAGCCGGTGGGGCCCCGCGGGGCGCGCTGCCGGTGGGTCCGCCCTTGGGAACGTCGGGATCGTCGGCCTTCGGTCGGTGTTGCCCCCAGCGTTCCGAAGGGTGGGGGGTGGAGAACGAGCCCCGCGGGAGGGTTGGGGTGATTGGGTTCTTTATTCGCGTTTGGGAAGTTGAGTTCCGGCCCGCGTGCCTTGTGGTTTGAGGGAGGGGGATTCCGAGGGAGCGCGGTGGGGGAGGAGGACGGGGAGGAGATGGTAGGCGACTTGAGCCGGGGTGGCGGGGCCCGGGCCGGGGACTCTGCGGCTCAGCGTGCTCTCCTCTCGCGGACAATCTCGGCCGTCGGCGACCCCGTTGACCCCTTTCCTGGGCAGGGCAGATTCTTTCGTGGGAAAAAAGCGTGTCTGTGCACCGCGCAGGTGAGGTGAAGGATGGCCGGGGGCCTGGAGATGCGATCTTGGAAATGGAGTCGCTGAGGTCCCTTAGATGTTTGGTGCCCCGAGGGAGCGCTGCGCTGAGATTGCAGATGCAACTGGTTGGTGCAGATTGAACGGTGAGATGGATGAACCTCCCCGGGCTGGGCATTTTTGCAAAATAATGCGGTACGTCAGTTATTTCTGTCTTCTCTAGAAGAGAAACTTTTGTAAGCGTCTTGCTTTTGTTTTTTAAGAGATTCTAATTCTTCAGTGCTTTTTCATACTCAGTGGTTTCTTGTAGGGAGCCAACTTTCTGTTGTCTGCGAGGTTTTTTGTGGTTCCCACTGACATGAATTGCAGGGCTTTGGAAACAAGGATGCAATTGTATGAATTAGGAAAGTAAACTCATAAATATTTTCCATGCAGTTAAGTTGCTTTTTTTTTTTGGTTTATTTTTTGCATGTGTCTGAGTTACGGTTTCGTTAAGCGGCATTTGTTAAGCAATTCCCATGGTGCCTGATAGGGCTTTTTTTTTTTTTTCCTGGTTGTTTACAGTCACAATTAAAAGCTGGAAAGAGTGAAAAGAAAATGATGTTCAGTTATTTATTTTTCCAAAGCAGATTAATGTTTCTGCTTATTTAGGGACGGCTTTCAGTAGTTTAAGTAGATACTTGCGTGTGTTTAAATAGGTAATGATGATATTTTTCTCATTACTCTTAATGAGTTTAGTTATGTTACGCAACACATGAAATTGTTACAGGTCCTCAGGAAAAGGTGTTTCTCAGTTAGGTAGGTAAATTTTGCCATGTGGCTTTGTCATTGTGTCTTAGGAGAGCTCTGATTCCACAATTAGAATTACTCTCTTGTTATTTACTTAAGCTTTAAAACGTAAAAGTACTTAAAACACTGTAGTTTTTGAAAACAATTGGTTAGAATTCTAAGTTATGCCAAACATGACATTTAACAAGCTCAATGTAAGATTTTGATTTTAAAAAAGTTTGCATTTATATGCCCATTTCTTGAAAAATGAACATCTTAAATGAGCCAAATTCTTTCACTCTGAGAGGATGCAAGGTTTTTAAGAGGACTTCATGAAATAATTTTGGTCACTTGTGTATATCATTTGTATCTTTTGCTTAGTGACTAGGAGTATCCCTGTTGAGTTTTTACCATGTTAACTGGTTATTTAAATCCTTATTATGGACAGAAAAATCTTTAAAAATTATATGGCAGACTAATAACGTACTGTTATCATTCCCCTGATCCTCTGCCTCTCTGGTGTGTCTTTAGACTTGGCTCCAGAGCCACCTTTGCAGCAGTCATTTCTTTGAATGTTAGAAGTGGACAGGGTTTTAGAGATTATCTGTTATTAACTCTCTACCACCATCTCTTTTTCCATCCAAGTTTGGCTGATTTTATATAGAATCAATAAACCGATACAAAGTAGACATTTTGCATTAAATGCTGTATTAGTGGCCTAATTTGTAGCTTTAAGGATGTAATTTAATAGCAGGCAGCAGTGAAGCTGGATGTGCTGTTTAATCTTTATGAGTGGGAATTTGCAGTAGGCAAGTGTTCATTTGACGAAATTATACAGATATAACACAGCCAAACTCTATCCTTACTTAATTGTTCAATTTGCAAGTTTTTATCCTTAGAATTGTTTATCCTTAAAAGCTGGAAAGGAGTTTTTGGAATGAGTGTTAATATGTCATTTGAGATCATTTGCCATTTTCTCTTATCTGAGAGGAACTTTTTATTTCAAAAATATATTCAGTCAAATGAGGAATTTGTATATGTCACATTTTAAAGTTTTTAAAATCATCTTTCTTTCCCTGAAACTCTGAGATTTAAATAAATTACCCAAATTCTTGCTTAATTCTGAGGGTTTGTCTTATATGTGATTATACATATACAGGTCTATGAAGTAATTAAATGTCTTTTATAAACTACTGTGGAAAATCAGTCATTAGTTAATCTTATTATCCATAGAGTATTAAAGCATAGCACTTCATTATAATCTGCAATACAGACACTGATATGGCATTATCTATAGCTGATTTTGAACAGTGACCTCTTTCTGGGCCACTGGAAGTTAGAGTCCTCTACATGACAGCCAGTGCAGTGATGTTACTGGCCTTTAGGTTGTGCCTGGATTTCCTGTGAATTTGAGAAGGTTGGACGTATTTTTCTCTGTTTATTCCTCGCTATCTTTCCTCCCCTACTTGCCTTCCATTCTTATTTTTAATCTTTCTTCCATC